ATAGCATTAATGTATTTTGATCATGTATACGCGATGCCAACGCTGACAGTTTCTTCGCAGTTGTTTTCGTATGTATATACTATGTATATTGGTTCACCTGGTTTCAACGCTGACAGTTCCTGATCCCTTTTTCTATACCTCTGGCGATTCTCATCTGCCGTCTTCCTGGTTCAAGCGTCCCTCCTGGGTTCCTTGTTGTCCTGGTCCTCTGACTCTCCTGTTCCCTACAGTCCTCCTGTCTACTCACCTGCCCGTCCTGGTCTCTTCAGTCATCACTGCCCTACTCTGGTTAATAGACTATACATATACTCAGTACTTTGCTTTTCTCCAATAAACCACCTTTTTTTTTAAACTAGCACCTGGGTCTGCATCCTAATTCCTACCTCTTGTTCTCCCTCACCCCCTGGTGAGGGGACTCAGCCATAACAGTGATGTCCTTCAGGTGGGCCAATGTAGTGGTTAAACCAAACAAATTACAATTCATTTGTAATATGGAATAGAATAAGTAGGAGTGTGGAAATTACACATAGATATATGTGGTAGGCCAGGGGTGCCCACATTTTTTCGCCTTGCAAGCTGCTTTTCAAATGACCAAGTCAAAATGATCTACCTACAGTTCAAATACTTAAAGGCTTCTGTTCCATTATAAAGCCTCATCCGGTTCTTTCAAACCAGGAACTCCGAGGGACGACTCAGACCACTTGAGTATATAAAAAATATAACCGTGCTGGTTTATTCAAAGAGTCACAGGCAAGCATCCACACTTCCAGTCCAGAGATCTTCCAAACCATGCTGATGTAGGACCCACTCCATAGAGCAGGGGTGCACACACTTTTTCGACTTGCGAGCTACTTTTCAAATGACCAAGTCAAAATGATCTACTTACAGTTAAAATACTAAACATATATTTATTCATATATGGCATACACCTTATGTAAACACAATATATGTTGGTGCACTTTGCATAACTGCATGAACTCTAAGGTACACTACAGTTCAGTACTTTTTTGGTCATTAGTTTACTCTGATGACTTGCACTGAATGGAATCAGCCAGGGCTGCATAGTCCGGACAGTAGCTGCTGGTAGCCAGCCTTCAGCAGACTTCCAAATGGTTATCAGTCATGGTGGAGTAGTATTTGGACTTAATAATCTTCATGAGAGAAAATCCTGACTCACACAAATAAGTAGAGCCAAATAATGCAGTCAATGGCACATTTCCTCATGTTTGGGTACTTTTCCTCTGTAAGTTCCAAAATGGTCCATTAGCCCTGGACTTCAGCTGAATGTCAGTCTATAGTGTCAATATCTTATCCTCCACTCCAGACCAGTTCAGGTGAAACAGCGTTGCAATTTTTGATGCGAGTGAATCAACCTCAATATCTTCCCTAAATGGGTAGCACATAAATGTAGCGACTGGCTCGAGTGAGGCAAAGTCTTGAAAGCGTTTGCCAAACTCTGAACAACAATTGTCAATCTGCTTTGTGTAGCGTGCAATGTCAAGTTGCACACATGCTTTCCGTTGCGTCTCCAGCTCTGATGCGAGGTTTTGGAAGTTCCACAAAATGTTGCATTTTTCGTTTGAAAGCATTAACTAAGCTCATTATATTGACATGAGATCTACCGACACTACCTTTGCGATCGACCGGTCGATCACGATCGACGTATTGCCCACCCCTGTGGTAGGCAATAGTTGATAGTTAATTTTATAAGGGTGAGTTATATAACATGACAAGATCTGATCTTTGAACTATTTTGAAGTGTTGGTGCCTGGTAACCACAAATGGGCCAATGGGTTCACATCTTGATAAGTAGCCCTGACAATGTGTCCTCTTTTGTTGGACTCTTTAAAATGTTTCACATATGTCACCTTAGTGTGAGAGGTTAAGCTTTGTTCCTATATCCAGGGGTTAGCATATCGTTGTCTTCAAACACAGCTGTTTAGTAAACTGTTCATACAATCTTTGTTACTGGGAAGGTTTTGCACTAAAGAGCATTGTGATCCTCAACTGATATCCTCTCTTCAGATATGTGTGTTTGTGTGTGTGCCTGTGCCAGTAGCACAATCCCACACCCTAACTAAATGAAGTTGTTGGAAAATTTTAATTCAAATAACATTTTTCATACTTGTGCAGTTTCAAAAGTGTAATTTAAGTCTCTGTTGTGGGGTATTGTGTACCTGGTTCTCAACCAGCATGGCAATATCAACAAACATGTCATGGAGCTCTTTAATGCTGCTTTCCAGCCTCTTGATGTCTTTGTGACGAGCCTCAATCTCATTCAAGGCCTGTTGGTTGATTTTAGTGTCCATGATCTAGGTTTGGGGCAGAAGGCAAAGAACAAGCAATGTATGAAAATTTAAGCAATACATACATATTCTAATACTAACCTAATCACACACATCCCCCTAAAATAGATTGCACCATTTCCACTCCTTAACGTAAGATGCCTTGTGACAGTAGGACACAGACTGCAGCCTTCTGACCGACTTGTAATTGCTGGCAATAATGTTTGTAACCAAACTGATCAGGAGGGTATGTTTTTATTTCTCATGGCTTATGAGCTGTTTCTATGTGTTATTTTGTGTGTGAACTTGGTGTCAGCTGTTCACTTTTCATTGCATTCCATGCAATGAAAAGTGATTTATTCAAAGATCTTCTGTACTGCACCTCCTCAGCTTACCACAGTACAGCAGCCTCTCTTATCAACACCCACCCATAGCAGCATTCCATGCAATGAAAAGTGATTTATAAGAGAAACAGGCTTAAATTCTAAAATTGCCTATTTGTTTACAGGTAATTGATTAACTGACTAATTGTTCAGCTCTGGTTATATTATTTTCACATGTTCACCATCTCTGCACATATTTACAGATTTACAGACACAGATCCACATACTGTCCTACCCCAGCGGTGAAGACAGCCGAGTTGCCTCCTTCCAGCATCTCTTCCAGTTCTTCATCAGTCATTGCTTTCCCTGCTGTGATGGACAAAAACAACTGTTTGTATACAGGTGTTTTATATAAATATCTGTTAACATTGGACAGGCCTAGTTAAATACAGAAGGTGGAGACAGACTGCCAGAGAAAAACTGGTATATTAAAGGAATGCCATCCTGTGTGGTGAAAAGTCAAGACACTTTACTGAATACTAAAATACAGTATGTACTCCAACCTTGATGCATCTGACTTTACAACATGTCTGATGAACACAACACATTAAGATACTTGGCAAATGAGGTTGCTAAAATACAGGAAGCAATATTGGCCTAGAGGCATTAGCACACATCATAAACCAAATATGTTATTTAAACGGCATGCCTCCTCCTTCTCCCCCTCCTGCAAATTGGTGTATCCCATCTGTGCTGAACCAGTTGAATGAATCTAACTTGAGAATTGAGAATTTTAAATGTGATATTACGGGCTCTAAATACAAATCCATATGATGACATTTTAAGAGAATTTAATGCACTAGCTGTAAGGATACAAATTCTCCAGTGTACAAATGTGCATGGCCCCAAACAACTGAGAGCTCAAACAGCACATACAGTATGTTGAACCAAGTGCAAACTCCCAATCAACTGTGTTCCACCATCATCCCAGTTCCCAAGAAACCCTCCACTAGGGAACCGAATGACTACAGACCTGTCGCTCTGACATCTGTGGTTGTGAAGTGTTTTGAGAGACTGGTATTGGCCCACCTGAAGGCCACCACAGACCACCGGCTAGATTCCCTGCAGTTTGCCTACTGAGCAAATAGGTCAGTGGATGATGCAGTCAATATGGCATTGCATTATATCCTGCAACATCTTGACTCACCAGGGACCTATGCTTGGATTCTATTTGTGTTCAGCATTTAACACCATCATCCCAGACATCCTCTACTCAAAACTAACCCAACTCACTGTGCCTACCTCCACCTGTCAGTGGTTTACCAGCTTTCTGACAGAAAAGCAGCAGCAGGTGAGGCTGGGGAAAACCACATCTAGCACCTGGACTATCAGCACAGGCGCCTCCCAGCGATGTCTGCTCTTTCTGCTGTTGTTCTCCCTCCATACCAATGACTGCACCTCAGAAGACCTCTCTGTAAAAATCCTGAAGTTTGCAGATGACACAACGGTCATCGGTCTCATTCAAAAAAGTGACGAGTCAGCCTACAAACATGAGGTTGAACAGTTGGCCCCTGTGCTGTGGAGCTGAACACAATGAAAACAGTGTGCATATTTACATTGCATTTCTACCCCAAGGATTTGAGTTTTGCACCTCAGTAGATAATTGCATAGCCCCTCATAATTTCACCTATCTTATCACTGCAGTGATATATTATACAGTCTGATAGCTGTGGGGAGGAACGTCCTATGGTAACGCTCCTTCCTACACCGGGGATGTAACAGTCTTGTGCTAAAAGAACTGTTCAGTGCCTCCATTGTGTGGTGCAGGGGATGGGAGGGGTTATGCATGATGGATGTTGGTTTTTCCAGCATCCATGTGTCCGCCACCTCCTTGATGGAGTCCAAAGGGCAGCCCAGGACAGAACCTGCTCTCTTAACCAGCCTGTTAAGTCTCTTTCTGTCCCTGTCCGTGCTACCTCCTGCCCAACCCACAACAGCGTAAAAAACTGCGTGCTTCACCGGGGACTCCAGGATCTGTGGTTCATAAAATGTCCAACGAAATGCCCCGCACACACCAAAGTACCTTTGTCTCCTCAACAAGTGGAACCGGCTCTGGCCCTTCCTTTACAGGGCATCTGTGTTGTTGGTCCTGTGGATGTCAACCTCGACCATGCCATGCCTCCCTCCTCCTCTATGCCACCCTCCTACACAAAGAACAATAAAACTCTGGACCATACTGTATGCTAATGCTAGGAATGTGTACACTTCCGCCCCTCCCCCTCTGACCACAGACTGCCCTGTCTGTGATTTGAGTGAGCGACATCTGTTCCTGACTTTCTCTGAAATGCTTGTACTGTCTTGTTTTTGGGCATTCTCGAATCTTGAATTGTCTTTTAAGATTCTTGATTTGTTTTTAAGAGATCCTTGTGGTGTTTGCTGTTGTGAAATGCTTGTACTGTCAATTTGTTTTTTAAGATGTGCCGCACGAAGCGGCAGCGAGTTCCAGTAGCTCTGTCCTCTTTTGTTTTTTCTTTCCATGCTTTCTGAATTTGTCTGTCAAGATCAGTGTGTGGTATGTTCTTATGGTGTCTTGTTGGTTGCTCTCTGCTGTTTTTGTCCCTACCGCTGCTGGAACACTGGAATTTCCCCACTGTGGGATCAATAAAGTTCTACCTACCTACCATACCTTGGTTTTTTTTTTCCACTTTTCTCCCAGGAGGTCTCCTGAGCCATGTGCATACCAGCAGATGAATTCAAGAGTCTTTTTGCTGTATGTCAGTGGGCTTCAGGGCTGGCATCAGGGTGCTGACCATGTGTTTTGTCAAATCTCATGCTGTGCTTTTAAGATGGGATTTGGTGATTTTAAATGATTTATGGGCTAAAGGTATAACAAACCTTAACAGTTTTCCAAATATTCCTCCAATACCTCTCCCATATCACACGGGTGCCCCCTGTAATGCTGCTAACCTGTCTCTAACTTGTGACACATAATATTGTATGAGACAGTGTTCATCCAGCATCTTCAGAATTTTTTGATGGGTCTAAAATGTAGTTTCAGGATGACTTTCCCATATGTGAGATTAATGATTTCACCTGTGTCAGACTTAATTTCTATTTTAATGTTTTCAATATGATTTCTGGGCAAAGGCAGATAGTGGACTCTGATATGAGATGTTTATGGTTGCTGGTTTAAGGTTGCTGTAATTAAATCTCTACTCAAAAAGCCTACTCTTGACCCAGGTGTTAGGTTATTTCTTAGTTAGATAGATATGGATTAGAGATCTGTTGTCTATGAATGTTTAGTGCAGACAGGGTGACTAGTTTGCTGTAACTATTCAGCCTGCAGGGATTGCAGGCACGCCAAGGTTACAGGAAAAGAGCTTTTAGGGTCAACTGTAATGCTAGTCTTAATATTTGTCTTAAAGTGTAAGGTTATGTCCAATTGTTTAGATACACACCACGAAAACAACAGTCACGCACCTTGACTTTTCCTCATGTTTTGGCTAAACGATAGAGCAGCTGCAAAGCTTGCTTATCGGGTGGCGTCACGGTTTGACGCCCCTTGTAGCATGGGCTAGCCCAAAAATGATTAATATTATATAGGTTGTTGGGTCCAGACTTTCTCAGCTTTCTGCTGCCTGCGCGCAGGTAGAGGGGTGAGAGAGCTCTGGACGTGTCCTGTGAATTTTACCTGTGATCCTCTGAATAAACCAGCACGGTTATTTTCTATAAAATCTAAAGCAGTCTCTTTCGTCTCATTGAGAGTTCCTGGTTTGAAAGAACCGGAAGAAGCTACACAGAAATAATAGCTTATACAGGTGTTCTAGCTAATTATAAACCAATATCCAATCTCCCATTTATTTCTAAAATCCTTGAAAAAGCTCTTGCAAAGCAGTTAACTTGCACAAGAATGATTTGTTTGAGGATTTTCAGTCTGGTTTTAGAGTCTATCATTGCACAGAAACTGCATTGGTGAAAGTCACCAGCCATCTCCTTCTAGCCTCAGACAAAGGACTTGTCTCTATACTAGATCTTCTTTGACCTCAGTGCTGCTTTTGACGCCATTGATCTCAGCATCTTAATACAGAGACTTGAACATGTTACTGGGATTAAAGGAACCGCACTAAGTTGGATAACATCTTATTTATCAGAAAGAATCCAATTTTCTCATGTTAATGATGAATCTTCCACTCAGACTAAAGTTAGTCATGGTGTTCCACAGGGCTCTTCACTTTATACATGCTCCCTTTATCCAGTATTATCAGAAAACATGGCATAAATTCCCATTGCTATGCAGATGATACTCAGTTATATTTATCTATGAACCCAGATGAATCAGATCAGTTGGTCAAACTTCAAGCATGTCTTAAAGGCATAAAGGCTTCGATGACTGTAATGTCTGACTTCTAAACTCCAACAAAACTGAAGTTATTGTACTTGGGCTTGAAAACCTTAGATATATGCAATCTAACCATATATTTACTCTACATGACATACAGTATATTTTGTGTTTTAGCATAGTATAATCAGCTTGCTTTGTACTTAGGCAATGCATGGGGCCTACAAAAACAACATATTCTGCATTAGGTGTCACCATAAGTGACCACTGTCTTCCATGTGTGATGTATGTTTAAGTATTTAATCAAGTTTTCAGCATTTAGTTACAGTATATGATAATACAGTGATGTAATCATTGATGGTCATGATTGAGAAAGTTGTCGAATTAATTCAACTTCTTAAAGTATGGTCACTTGGCTTGATTTTGGGTCGATACAGGTGAAATGGGCCAGACAATTGACAACACCATAATCATTTTCTTCCTTGTTTATGTGGGTGACCTTACTCACCCAAGTGGTGAGGATGAGGGAGAAGAAAATGATGGACTATCCATCCATGCATCCATCCATCCATCCATTTTCCTCCGCTTATCCGGAACCGGGTCATGGGGGCAGCAGTCTAAGCAAAGATGCCCAGACTCCTCTCTCTCCAGACACTTCCTCCAGCTCCTCTGGAGGAATGCTGAGGCCTTCCCAGGCCAGCTGAGAGACTTAGTCCCTCCAGCGTGTCCTAGGTCTTCCCCGGGGCCTCCTCCCGGTGGGACATGCCCGGAACACCTCCTTAGGAAACAGATGCCTGAGCCACCTCAGCTGGCTCCTCTCAATGTGACCGAGCTCCTCACCTTATCTCCAAGGGTGAGCCGAAGCCACCCTGCGGAGAAATCTCATTTCGGCCACCTGTATCCAGGATCTTGCCCTTCCGGTCATGACCCAAAGCACACGACCATAAGTGAGAGTAGGAACGTAGATCGACCAGTAAATTGAGAGCTTCACCTTACAGCTCAGCTCCTTCTTCACCACAACGGACTGGTA